TGGTATATTGTTGTCACACGTTAAATACATACCAATCTTGTATATTGAAAACATCGGAATATTTTTAAAATATAATTTTTATTAAAAGCTAAAAACTTACTCTCTTTTTCGTGGTCGTAGCCGACCACAACAAAGTAGTCGGCTAACCGAGACATTTCGGTATACTCGTGGGGGTTCGTGGGGGTGATAGCGCCCAACATCCCACGTAGATTTTAATACACGTGATTTCATGGACCGTACCCTACCAAGCAACAATCAACTACCTTGTGTCAACGTTACACATAAATACGCATCAATATGTAAATTAATTAGAAAATATATTAAACATTTTTGAATTTATATTTTCTCATTTAAATATTACACAAATTTCAGAATAAAGCGTCAAAAATATAATATCGTTGTGAGTATATTTAAAACATTTTGTTTCATTCGAAAAACAAATTTCAAACATTGGTTGAAATTTTGAAGACACCACACGCACCGTTGAAAGCAGTTACTTCATATTCGTCACGTTTAGAAAGTGAATTCGTTCCTCATTACACGAGTATACAATATTCTATTTATTTTATAAAATACAATATGATGCCACACCCCGAAGCTTTAATCCATAACCTTCCAAACTCAAGCGCCACATTGGGTGTTTGATGAACCGCGTATGAACCAAAACGCGCCACAGATATACAATTGAAGAGACGAATGCGCTGTAATTCGCATTTAATTTTACTTTTTTTGTCTTCTGCTTGGATCACTGAGAATACTTTAAATCTGAAAACATACGCATTATTATAGACGTTACTTCGATACAACTTTATAGCGCGTTCATAGTGAATCATTGCACAACAGATGCATGTACAATAATTCACATGTATAACGTATTCTATAAATTTGCTGTTTCATTTTAGGTTTTGAATGTAGGAATCTAAATTATTTATGAAATTGAATTCAGTATTTTTGAATTCAGTTAAAATTTTGTATATGAATAAATTCTTTGCATATTTTATGTATACACATCATTTCATTCTGTTTAATTTCCTTCAAATTTATGATAACTATGTAGATAATTAGTAATTTAAGTCCACTGTTAGAAGTTAACGAAAATTAAAATAACTTGACATGTGCTTTCTACATTTTATATATAATAATTGTCCTATCTTTAATTCATATATAAAAGATTTTTGTATATAGCTCTCTGTATATTTACGTTGTATATGTACATATTTAAACGATCCTTAACCTCGTTAGAAGCTGTTACATGGAGCCACTTAAGTTTTAAGTGAAAAGAAAAAATGAATGTAAAAAATGTTCGAAATTTTGTAAAATTGGTTTT